AATACAGAGTTCTTGTAGGTCCCATTCTTTTGCAGGCACGACCCTGTCAAACCAGTCCTCCCATTCAACCCTCAATGTTGGCCAACAACGATGAGATCGGTTTACCCTCCAATTTCCCCAGTCAAGCCCCCTTTCATAGAGAATAAAGTGGCCCTCCAAACGAGGGCACAAAGCGGGAAGTTGGGCGGGAACCTCTCGAAAGATAGGACATGGGACATATTATTGTTTTTCGCTGTGACGACGAACAAAGAGGCATCCGTCTATAGCACTCGATCTACCATCTTTAAACTTAGCAATTTCTTCCTCAATACATCTTTTCAAAGCCATTGTTGGGCTTATACGTTTGCCAGTTGGTACTTTCAAGGAAGAAGACTCCATTGGTAACGAGCAGCAAGCAAAGAAAGGTCAGTAGAGATGTAGGGTTTGTGTGTTAGGCAAACGAGTGGATTCAGAGCACGAAGTAAAAATGGTTTTAAAACCTTTGTGTCAGAAAAAGATACCCAATTGTTTTAAGTGGGTTGAATTCATAAACGTGACACCCTGAACGTTTAATTAAATACTATATAAATATTTATAGTTATATATAATAATGGTTGCATGTGATGATAGATTATTAAATAAATAAATATATAAATCTAATTTGGCATTGGGTTATCAAATACGAGATTAATTAGAGATTATTATTTGGGGCCAAATTAACACATTTATGGAATTATAATACTAGTTTGGTCAAATTAAAGTTAAAAATAGTAAATAAATAATAATATTGATAACAATAATAATAATAATAATCTGTAAAGTAAAATAAAATAATTAATTTTACGATAATAAATGATAGTGTAATTTCATTTACATTAGGAACACTGAAAAATTTAGCACGAAAACAAATAAATAAATAAATAAAAAGAAAAGAAAATTTGTAATCTATTGTTTGCCCAGCAAATGTCTCGTAATATCGGCCCAAACAAAAGGCCCAAGTATATACTTATTTGAGAGATCTATAATTATCTTATAAAGATTCAAATCTCTGATTTGAATCTGTAATTAAAACTCAATCTATTAGCATAATATTGGCCCTTCATAGAGAGGCTATGTGTCACTCAATCAAGGCTCAATTAGTAGTATATAAGGAGCAAGAATGTTGTGAATGAAGGAAGGAAAAATGAAAGAAAAAAAGAAAGAAAGAAAGAAAAAGAGAGAGAGGTACGTGAATATTGAAAGTAGGGAGCTTATAAGGTTGTGATAGTGGAGTAAGGTTAAGGGTCAATAGTTAGGTGAGTTATATTATACTTTGATTTACCATTATGTGTTTTATGAATGTTTGGAGTTACCATAGATTATTTTATACAAGTTATATTTTATTAAGTTATATTAATAGAAGTTATGTTTTATAAATATTACAGTTACGTGAGTTACTTTGTAAACTCTATTTACTTAAAAGGAAACCCATGGATATGTTTGTTTAAATTTTAGTATATATTTGACTATAACTTTATAAACAATTATGTTTTGTAAGTACCATCACGGGAGTCTCACACCTTAGGGGACTTAAATAACCATGGGCCTCTGTTTGGCCACTTTGTGGTCCTCTGTTTGTCATGGATCCATTGACCTCTGTTCTGACTGTCACTTCTGTGACCTTTGTTCTGTTTTGTTTTATACCGTTGTTATGGTTATTTATTTACATGATTTTTGTATTCTGCCACTTTAAATAAATTGTTATTTCAAATTAAATTATGTAAATATTTTAGCCTAACTAATTATCCATGGTTATTTTGTATTCCTTACACTCCTGGCATAATATTTCTCACTCCGCTGTGTGCTTATAGCCGTTACCCTTTCAGGTGATGAGATGTAGAGGAAACCCATAACCCTACAAAATGGAACCTGCACATGGATTGCTGTTGAACCACTTTTTTTTTTTTTTATCTTTTTAGTTTTGCTTCCTTTTTGTCCTACTTAGGGCCGGTCACTGACTAATAAAATAACTAAAGCCCTAGAGATGTATTTTCTTTTTCTTAAATAGTAAAATGAAGTAAATTTTCTGTTTCATTATTTTATTTCCGCGTGCGCAGTTTAATTTGCTACAAATAACATAAGTTAGTAAGTTGCGATTCCAATCCTAAGCCCTGGGGTTAGGTCGTGACAAAGGTGGTATCAGAGCAACGGTTCAAAAAATATATATATATATATATATATTTTTAATTTGATCAGGAAGTTCAAAAAAAGTTATAAATAAATCCATAAATAAACTATATATAGTAAAATAAAATAAAATAAAATAAAATGATAATAAAAGCATTTACCTGCAACATTAGTTTTTCTGTGTAAAATCTCACGTTTATTCTGGTATTGTAGAAATGTCAGAGATTTATCTTGATGATGCTTTTTGAGATGAGCTTCAGGCTATCAATTTAGATGAAATCTTAGCCAAGCACCCTGCCCCCGCCCCCGCCTCACCTGAGGGTTGGGGAGATTCCGAGGATATAGTCAAGGGACTGCACCTAGGCCTCGCCCGATTAATGGGTCGGCCAGTTTATATCCAGGCTGATCCCACCAACGTTCCACATTTATTATGGAGACACAGCCTTGTCGATACACGCAGACGTTTCCTTGGACCATCTCGTGTCCTTGGCGTCGCCCCGGGACATGACCGCCCGCATTATATTATAGGCCCTCTACCCTTAGAGTTTGTGGCCAGAAGGGGGAATGTGTACCCTGAGGATTATATTTTCACCACCGTCCCTAACCCGCTAGAAATAATTAATATTCAAAATGTTGACTTTAGTAATGACCTGTCATATGTTGAGATACCTAGCTGGATTGTCGACCGAGCATTTGTGGGACACATACAGTCCATCCCCAGTTTCACGGTCCAGGTAGCATAGATATGTTTTGGTGTAGTCCAGTTGGGGTGGAAATTTGAGCTTTTTATGCAGCACTATTTCCCATGGTTTTTCGGCCTACTTGACCCACCACTCTAGATTTAGGTAGCAGAAAATCTTTTTGTATGCTGACCAGGATGTGTTCTAATCCCTTTTTTTTATATATCTTTTTGTTTTGTTTACTGCAGGGATGGGACACTAACATATTCTGACTGATGTATATAAATTGTTAAAAAAAAAATGTGTAAAGTTGGCATTTCATATAAATATAGATTGTGCTACACATGTGTATATATATATATATATGTATGTTGCGTTGAGAATATAATGCCTCGTTTATTACTTTGTAGAATGGCTAATAATGGTAATAGAAGTGAGTTATCAGTTAGTGGCACTGAATCGGTGGAAAGAATAATGGAAAGAGCGGTTACTAACTTTTTGTAAGCCTTGCGGGTATCTGCGAACAATGGGACGCCGGCACGGCAAGAAGAATTAGTTACCAGAAAACAGTTCCAGGATTTGAAACCCACCACATTTACCAGCGGCCTATACCCAATGGTAGCAGACCCTGGGGTTAAAGACATGGAAAAGATTTTTCGCACCCTACCCTACACCGAAAGACAAAAGGTAACTTTCGCCACATTCACTTTCAAAGACAATGCACAAGAATGGTGGCTTCTCATTCTGGCCAAAGAAGAAATTACGATTTGGGCAAGATTCTTGAAAGTATTCTACAAAAAATACTTTCCCGATTCATTGCAGGAACAGAAGGCATTCGAATTCATACATCTAAAGCAAGGAACCATGACGGTGGCCGAATATGAAAGCAAGTTCACACAACTCGCTCGATTTGCAACATACGTCATCCCCACTGAAACTCGAAAAAATAAGAAAATTTGAAGCAGGATTGAATGCTGGAATTAAAGACAGGCTCGAGGTCTTGAAACTGCCAACTTATGCAGAAGTGGTGGATCGGGCGTACATTGCAGAAAAGGGGATTAAAGCCTCGCGTTCCGGGGAACCAAGCCACAAGAAACGATTTTGGAAAAAAGACAACAGAGGACCCGGTGTTGCGCCTCCCAAAAAGATGAATATGGGCACAACCGGCTCAGGCCATCAAGGTCCTATCAACCCCCGATGAGGCACTATTCCAATTTGCCCCACTTGTGGGAGGGCTCATTGGGGACAATGCTATCGAGACACGGGAGCATGTTTTAGATGCGGACAAGTTGGCCATTTGTTAACGGATTGCCCAAAGCTGACTACTCCTATAGCCAGCCCCTCTAGTCCAGTCAGGAGACCCGCAAGACCTGGAGGAGAGAAGAAGGACGAAAAACGCTAAGGTCGGGCTTTCGCCTTGGTACCTGGAAAACCAGAAATTACTGAAAATGTTGTGTCAGGTACACTTTCTGTCTGTGGTCATTTAGCTCATGTCTTCATTGACTCCGGGTCAACTCATTCTTTTGTTGCACCACACTTTGCTGCCAAGCTGGCATCAACACCCGAACCCAAAGGATATATATTGTATGTATCTTTTCCTTCTAGTAATTCTGCCCCTAGTGCTAATGTATACAAATTCCTATCAACCCCCGATGAGGCACTATTCCAATTTGCCTCACTTGTGGGAGGGCTCATTGGGGACAATGCTATCGAGACACGGGAGCATGTTTTAGATGCGGACAAGTTGGCCATTTGTTAACGAATTGCCCAAAGCTGACTACTCCTATAGCCAGCCCCTCTAGTCCAGTCAGGAGACCCGCAAGACCTGGAGGAGAGAAGAAGGACGAAAAACGCTAAGGTCGGGCTTTCGCCTTGGTACCTGGAAAACCAGAAGTTACCGAAAATGTTGTGTCAGGTACACTTTCTGTCTGTGGTCATTTAGCTCATGTCTTCATTGACTCCGGGTCAACTCATTCTTTTGTTGCACCACACTTTGCTGCCAAGCTAGCATCAACACCCGAACCTTTATGATATATATTGTCTGTGTCTTTTCCTTCTGGTAAGTATGCCTGTAGTACTGATGTGTATAGATCTTGTGTTGTATTCCCAAAAGGCAAAACCTTATACGTAGACTTGATTCCCCTCTGCATTGGAACCTTTGATGCGATCTTAGGTATGGATTGGCTGGCTACCAATCACGCCTCTATCGATTGTAAAGCCAAAAAGGTTTCCCTCAGGTTACCAAACCAATCCGAACTTGTCTTTGATGGGGCTGGAGTTTCTAACCCTCCCTGTATTATATCCTCCATGACAACCCAACTACTTCTAAGAAAGGGATGTGATAGTTATTTTTGTTATGTGATTGATACACAAAAAGAGGCCCCCACCGTTGATGCAATCCCTGTAGTTCGAGAATTCCTGGATGTTTTTCTTGAAGATCTACCCGGTATTCCAGTTGTTTGGGAGATCGAATTCGCCATTGAAACCCAACCTGGCACACAACCTATATCAAAAGCTCCTTATCGCATGTCGATAACAGAATTGAAGGAGCTGAAGACTCAACTCCAGGAACTCCTGGACAAAGGTTTTATTCGACTTAGTATTGTTCGTGAAGAAAAAGGATGGCACGATGAGATTATGCATCAATTACTGGGAGCTGAACAAGGTTACCATCAAGAATAGATACCCTTTGCCGCGAATCGATGACTTACTCGATCAACTTCAAGGCGCCCAAGTATTTTCCAAAATTAACTTACGTTTTGGCTACCATCAACTAAAAGTTAAAACGGAAAGCATTGAAAAGACTACCTTCAGAACCCGTTACGGGCACTACGAGTTTCTTGTCATGCCTTTTGGCGTCACAAATGCCCCAGCAGCCTTCATGGACCTCATGAACAGAGTGTTCAAACCCTATCTTTATGAGTTCGTCATCGTCTTCATTGACGACATCCTCATATACTCCAAGTCACCAGAGGCCCATAAGCAGCACTTGCGAACGGTTCTACAAACACTATGTGAACACAAACTTTATGCCAAATTGAAAAAATGCAAATTTTGGATCACTAGTGTACACTTTCTCGGCCACGTCATTAACAAAGATGGCATCTCGGTTGACCCCCAAAAAGTTGCAGCAATCGTGGACTGGCCACAACCTACTAATGTGTCAGAAATCTAAAGTTTCTTGGGGTCTAGCTGGCTATTATCGACGCTTCGTGCAAGATTTCTCAAAAATAGCATCACTCTTGACCAAGCTAACTCAGAAGTTCATACCCTTTGAATGGGCTGATAAACAGGAGCGTTGCTTTCAATAACTAAAAAGTCGACTTGTGTCAACCCCTATACTAACACTCCCTGCCGAAACAGATAGGTTTGTAATCTATAGTGATGCCTCATACAATGGATTGGGTTGCGTTCTCATGCAAAATGGAAAAGTCATTGCTTATGCGTCGCGACAATTAAAGACTCATGAAAAGAATTACCTAACTCATGATTTGGAATTGGTTGCGGTGATCTTTGCTTTCAAAATCTGGCGTCATTATCTCTACGGTGTAACCTGCGAGATTTACACTGATCACAAGAGTCTTAAATACCTGTTCACACAGAAGGAACTGAATATGAGGCAACGGCGGTGGCTAGAATTTATGAAAGGCTATGATATAGAGATCCATCACCATCCGGGCAAAGCTAACGTGGTGGTAGACGCACTGAGCCGAAAGACGACGAGAAGTTTGGCATATACTCTCGTTCCCCACAAGATCAATGGGTTGCTTGCCAACGTAACCGTGGAGCCTACATTGATTGAATAAATTAAAGCGCGTCAATGGGAAGATAAACTTTTGAAGAAAAAGTACGAGGAACAAGGAAACACGCCATATCCTGATTTCATTATAAGCAATGGGATATTGAAATTTCGAAATCGAATTTGCGTACTCGACATTCCAGAACTCAAGAAGAAGATATTAGAGGAAGCTCATAACTCGAGATTGGTAGTCTACCCTGGCAACACAAAGATGTACCATGATCTGAAGGAACACTACTGGTGGACACGAATGAAAAGAGATATAGCAAGCCATATTTCCAAATGTCTGCATTGTCAGCGTATTAAAGCGGAATATCAGAGACCTGCAGGGCTGCTGCAACCACTTCCTATTCCTAAATGGAAATGGGAGCACATTATTATGGACTTCGTGGTCGGGCAACCACAATCATTTTTTAAGAATTATGCAATATGGGTTATAGTAGACCGATTGACGAAGTTAGTGCATTTTCTACCAATCAAAATCATGTACCCTCTGAATAAATTTGCCACTTTATATATCAAGGAGATTATTCGTTTGCATGGTATCCCAGTTTCGATCGTGTTTGACCGAGACCCTCATTTCGTGTCTCACTCCTAGAATAAATTGCAAGAAGCTTTGGGAACTACACTGAAGTTCAGCACGGCTTATCATCCACAAACCGATGGACAATCCAAAAGAACAATTCAGATGTTGGAAGACATGTTACGTATATGCGTATTGGACCTCAAAGGTAACTGGGATGAGCACCTACCTTTGGTGGAATTCACCTATAACAACAGCTATCAGGCAAGCATTGGAATGGCACCGTACGAAGCTCTGTACGGAAGAAGATGTCGATCACCTCTGTGCTGGACGGAGGTCAGGGACAGGACATTATTAGGCCTCGAAATCGTGCAAGTCACAAGTGAGAAAATCCAACTCATCCAACAGCGAATTCGCACTGCTCAAAGTCGCCAGAAAAGTTATGTAGATACTCGGAGACGGGACTTGGAATTTCAAGTAGGGGATCATGTGTTCCTCAAAATCTCACCCACAAGGGGAGTGATCCGATTTGGAAAACGAGGAAAGTTAAACCCACGTTACATCGGGCCATTCGAGATACTAGAAAGGATTGGCCTTGTAGCCTATCGCCTAGCACTACCACCTGAACTATCCAATGTCCACAATGTGTTTCACGTTTCAATGCTTCGACAGTACCTTCGAGATCCAAAGCACGTTGTTGATTACGAGGATCTGGAAGTTCATGAGGATCTCTCTTATGAAGAACAACCAGTGCAGATTCTCGATCGTCGTGATCAAATTCTCCGAAACAAGACCATACCGCTGGTAAAGGTCTTATGGCAAAATCATCGCATCGAAGAAGCTACGTGGGAAACGGAAGGTCAAATGCGAGCCAAATACCCACACCTCTTCGAAAGTTAAGGTACGTCAAGTTTAGGGACAAACTTCTATTTATAAGGGGAGAAATGTGACACCCTAAAAGTTTAATTAAATACCACATAAATATTTATAATTATATATAATTATGGTTACATGTGATGATAGATTATTAAATAAATAAATATATAAATCTAATTTGGCATTGGGTATCAAATATGGGATTAATTAGAGATTATTATTTCGGGCCAAATTAACACATTTATGGAATTATAATACTAGTTGGGTCAAATTAAAGTTAAAAATAGTAAATAAATAATAATATTGATAACAATAATAATAATAATAATAATAATAATAATAATAATAATAATAATAATAATAATAATCTGTAAAGTAAAATAAAATAATTAATTTTACGATGATAAATGATAAGGTGTAATTTAATTTACATTAGGAACACTAAAAAATTTAGCACCAAAACAAATAAATAAATAAATAAAGAAAATTTGTAATCTATTATTGGCCCAGCAAATGTTTAGTAATATCGGCCCAAACAAAAGGCCGAAGTATATATTTATTTGAGAGATCTATACTTATCCTAAAAAGATTCAAATCTCTAATTTGAATCTATAATTAAAACTTAATCTATTAGCCATAGAGAGGTTATGTGTCACTCAATCAAGGCTCAGTTAGTAGTATATAAGGAGCAAAGGTGTTGTGAATGAATGAAGGAAAAATGAAAGAAAAAAAGAAAGAAAGAAAGAAAAAGAGAGAGAGGTACGTGAATATTGAAAGTAAGGAGCTTATAAGGTTGTGATAGTGGAGTAAGGTTAAGGGTCAATAGTAAGGTGAGTTATATTATACATTGATTTACCATTATGTGTTTTACGAATGTTTGGAGTTACCATAGATTATTTTGTACAAGTTATATTTTATTAAGTTATATTAATAAAAGTTATGTTTTATAAATATTATAGTTACGTGAGTTACTTTCTAAACTCTATTTACTTAAAAGGAAACCCATGGATATGTTTGTTTAAATTTTAGTATATATTTGACTATAACCTTATAAACAATTATATTTTATAAGTACCACCACAGGAGTCCCACGCCTTGGGGGACTTAAATAACGATGGGCCTCTGTTTGACCACTTTGTGGTCCTCTGTTTGTCATGGATCCATTGACCTTTATTCTGACTATCACTTCTGTGACCTATGTTCTGTTTTTTTATACCGTTGTTATGGTTATTTATTTACATGATTTCTGTATTTTGCCACTTTAAATAAATTGTTATTTCAAATTAAATTATTTAAACATTTTAGCCTAACTAATTATCCATGGTTAATTTTATGCCTTATACTCTTAGTATAATATTTCTCACTCTGCCATGAGCTTATAGTTTTTTACCACTTTCAGGTGAAGTAACGAGATGTAGAGGAAACCCATAACCCCACAAATGGAACCCGCACATGGATTGCTGTTGAACCACCTTTTTTTATCTTTTTAGTTTTGCTTCCTTTTTGTCTTACTTAGGGCCGGTCACTAACTAATAAAATAACTAAAGCCCTAGAGATGTATTTTATTTTTCTTAAATAGTAAAATGAAGTAAATTTTCTGTTTCATTATTTTATTTCCGCTTGCGCAGTTTAATTTGCTACAAATAACATAAGTTAGTAAGTTGCGATTCCAACCCTAGGCCAAGGTTGGGTCGTGACAATAAAGAAGTGTTAAAAGTACAGATACAAAAAGTTCTCCTCAATGGTGACAATTTGGGAGGGAAATGTATCTCAAATACTAATGTTGGCTTCGAAATCAGATTTTTGGCTCAAAGCCAAATTTTGGTGCCAAAGTCAAATGACAAACAACTTCGAAAGCAGGAAGTCAACTTCGAAACACATTCCCCACCCAAGGGTGCAAGAACGCCTAGGTATAGACTGTTTGTTCGAAGCAAAATTAGTTGATTTGAAATTATTTGATTGTATTAACCATATGTTGGGGAATTGGATATGATCAAATCAAGTTTCGAAGGGCAAAATTGGTAAATTCGAAGCTCTGATTCTGAAAGGAAACCGGCAAAAGTTGTCAATTACACTCCATATATTGAAAAAGTTCAAATTGGGTTTCCAGTATTTCGTTGGATGTATTTAAATCAAGTTTCAAAGGACAAAGTTGGTTAATTCGAAGCTAATAGCTGAAGAATTATGTTAATCCTAGAATCGGTATGAAGGGCGATAATTTTTTCTTAAAAAGAAACTTTCACACTTTGGAAGAGTTTGAGTTAGGACTTGAGTTTGAAAATTTAACATCAACCATACAACTAAGTTTACAATTGGAGTGGTAACTCAAAGTCTGACAAATGAAATTCGAAAAGCCTAGTTTTAATGATAAGTGTTGTTTACACCGGGATTCATTTGATTGCATTCTCAATTTCATAGAAATATGAAATGGACAAAGTTACAAGATCATGGAATTTAGTCCAACAAAATTCAATAATGAATACTCTTTTCCTATTCTATCATCTATCTAGTCCAGGTTTGGTTTATCTAATTGGTAAGCACTTAATTGAGAAGTGAGTTGTTGAGCCTTCACTTCGAATTCTATCCATTTAGGGCTTTATCTGTGGCATCCATCTCCTCTTCTTCATACACTTCGTTCATTGCAACATTATCCCTACGCTCAGAATCCTGGCTCCTGAAGGTCTCATATTCATCAAGGAGGTTCTCTGCCTCATACTGAACCTAAATTCGAACAGAGAAGGCTTCATCCAGAACTTCACTGGTAATGGAAGCCTGGAAGTGCCAATTGAGCAGGAGAGGAAGTTGGTCTAAAAAGGTATAAAGCTCTATTTGGACCACAGGGTTGAGAAGATGACTTTGAGATATAATGTCACAATCCCATAGAAAGTTTTTGTGGGGAATGCCATCTCAAAGGACTTCAAAGAATAAATAGGAAAAGGCAGCAAGCAAGGTATAAGCCCTAAATTACTGATAAGGAGTTGGAGACACTAGGGCCTTGTAGGGGGGTGAAGTATTGGCCTCAATTCATCAATCCAATTTGGATCGGAAGGCAGAGGAGGAGCAGTCGGAGGTTCCCTAATCGAATCTAGGAATTCAGGTCTGGCCACACATTCTAGCCAATCGGAGGTATAAAGTTTTGCTTTTTTGGCTAAAAGCGCAGAACTGATCCCTAAAGCTTCATTAGGACGTTGGACACTTCAAACCATCCGAGATGGCAAGGTAGTAGTATACCATGCTGAAAGCAGATGTCCTCAAGACTGCGTATACGGTCAATAAGAACATATGGATATATTACAGAACTGCGTTTGGAATGAGGGATTTCAAGAGGGTCATCGAATTCTGGGAATCAGTGATGAATGCGTTCCCTCATCTGAGGTTGAGTAGGGGTAGGCCAAGTTTCCCAGTCAGAGGTCGTAGAAGAAAAAGAAGCAGCAGCTTCATCCCATACGAAAAGAAGAGCTTCCGATATCCATGATTTGCAAATTTGTGTTCCAAAGAATCGTAAGCAGTAGGTTCTTGGTTCGAAGGTCGGTGATTTACGAAAGCTTCCATAACTTGTATATAAATGAGGGTGGATAAAGGTGGCTAATCAATGCATGAAGGTTCTTTCGAGGACGAACAACATCATCAAGTAACTCTTCGTATGCTTGATCAATGTAAGAAAAGACTTGCTTGGGCATGAAAGATGTACCAGTTTTTTCGAATACTGAGATAGTGGGAATGTTCAAGGGTTAGAAGAAAATTTAATGCAAATGTTTCATTGATAAATGACGGATGCATTTCAAAAAAGTGCAAAGCCCATGCACGTTCTAAGACGTGGGTAAAATACCTTGATCTACTAATATCACCAAGTATTGGGTATCTTAGTGCGAGGGTAATGTTGGGTACATATTTTGTATAAGCCAATCACAGTTCGACACGTGGCAGGATGAGGGCAATATGAGAAGACAATTCAAATCTTCAATCATAATCACATACGTGGCAGTTAGTATTGGTTATTGTAGATCTACATAGCATTGGATCAGTAAAGAAATGCAAGATAACGTGACTTTAATAGTTATACATATATTCAAATTCAAAATCAGGAATGAAACCTAACTGCAGATATGGCACAATAGAGCTAACTGCAAGGAAACATCAGCGATCGTGGAGGGGTGGTTTGATAGTTAGAAATTCGTTTCGACGGTTGTCATTGAGAAGTATAAATAGCAGAGAAGACCCCAGAAAGAGCCCCCAGACTCAAATCAAAAAAATCAGTTTTATCTATTTTATTTTCCTTCCAGTTTTTACATATTTTGTTTTTTACATTTTTATACTTCAAATTCCTGCACTGCACTTCATTCATAGGCGTAGTTTCAAATAGTTTGTTGCTATAAACCTCTACGAGGCTGATTTGGATCTTTGTAAGTCTTCCATTTTACTTAATGAAATTGTTCTTCATTTAATCGTTGTTTGCTTAATTCTCCTAAACAAAGTCACTAGTAAAAGTCCTCTTCATTGAGGCTGAAAGAACTAAAACACAATCATCTGATAATTAGTTGGCAATTTATATTCTATAAAAACTGATTGATCCTTATTAGTACGCTCAAAATTACAATAATAACCTTTAAAAGTCAAAAAATCAACAGATTGATGCATGTGAAATGGTTGTTTGGGACGGAAGTTGGATTAGTTTTTTTTTAGCTAAATTAGTTATAAAAAGATAAAGTATATAAAAAAATTAATATAATTATTACATTTAAATTTTAATTATTTTACTTATTTTCTTATAAATGTTTAAAAAAATATCTAAACAAACTTTTTAACTGAGTCTAAAAAAAATAAAAAAAAAATCTAAAAAACTAACCCAACTTCCCACACAAATCACCAAGCTCCCAAGTACACCAACCTAAGTAGGGGTGTGCATAAATAAAAAAAATAAAAAAAACTAAAAAACTAACCCAACTTCCCACACAAAATCACCAAGCTCCCAAGTACACCAACCTAAGCAGGGGTGTGCATAATACCGCCAAAATCGCACCAAA